CTTCTCCACCGGCGGCCGTGAGAGGGGGGTCGGCGAGGGGGGATCGGGGGGGGGGGGGGCGGAGCCCACCAGCCCCTGAAAAAACCGTCGCACCGAGGCAGAGTCTGCGGCGGCATGGAGGCAGATCTGTCAGGAGCGGGGGAGGCCTGCAGTAAGGTAAGGGCCTTGTTTGGCAAACTTCCTTTTGTTTTTACCCCCCTCCAATCCCCCCCCCCCCCTCTACCCCCCCCCCCCTCCCCGGGATGATTGGGTACCCCCCACGCACACACAGCCCCCCTCTCCCCCCCCCCCCAGGCCCACAGCTGGAGCTTGCACAGTGGCACAGGGGGGGAGGCGTTGAACGCGTGTATCTCCTTGTCCCCAGATGGGCCCACAGGAGGAGGATAGAGGGGAGAAAGAAGCTCCTTGTGAGCAGAAAAAGAAGTGTGCCACTTGTAGGAAGAAACTGGCGTGCTCCTGGAGGAAGCAGCTCTGCCAGGGGTGCATAGACAAGCTCATCAAGAAGGAGTCTGGATCTCTTTTTAAAGACTTCCTACAGAATATGACACAAGAGATGTCCAAGACATTTCAAAGCTTCAGAGAACAGAAGCCGGGACCGGCCCAGGATGAGCCCCAACCGGGCACTTCTGGCACCCAAGGGGGGAAAAATAGGAAGCTGGTAGCGCCGGTAAGGGACTGGGGAGGACGAACAGTCGGACACCTCAGACTCGGAGGAGGGTGAGATTGAGGCTCAGGGCCCAAAGGCAGACAGGTTCCTTTTTCAGGTGGAAGACACGGAGGACCTGTTAAAGGTGATCTATGAGACCTGGATCTGGAGGAAGAAACAGCAGGACCTCTCCCTCCACGACCAACTGTACGCAGGGCTACAGGCAAAAAGCAGCCGTACATTCCCAGTACACCCTGCCCTATGGTCCACGATCAGGAGAGAATGGGAAGAGCCAGAGAAGAAGGCTTTCCTTCCCAAGAACCTCAAGAGACGTTTCCCCTTTAAGGAGGAAGATGCCTCGGTTTGGGAGACTTGCCCAAAGCCAGACGCCCCTCTCTCGAGGATCTCGAAGGACACGGATCTGTCCTTTGAAGACGGTGGGTCCCTAAAAGACCCGATGGATCGGAAAGCGGACGCCTTCCTGAAGAGGGCATGGGAAGCGTCCGCAGTGAATTTTAAACCTGCAGTGGCAACGACCTGTGTGTCCAGAACCCTGGATGTGTGGTTGGGGCAGCTCCGTTCGCATCTGGAACAAGGCACTCCGGGGGAAGAGATTCTGAAGTCCCTTCCGGGTGCTGGAGAAAGCGGTAGCCTTCATCGCGGACGCATCAGCAGAGACCATCAGACTCTCTGCTAGATCTACGGCGCTCATAAACACGGCAAGGAGGGCTATTTGGCTGAAATCGTGGCAGGGGGATCTGGCCTCCAAATCTAAACTCTGTGGCCTGCCGTTTGAAGGTAAACTCCTTTTCGGGCCGGAGCTGAATTCAGTCCTGGAAAGGTCGGCCGACAGGAAAAAGAGCTTCCCGGTCCCCAGCAGGCAGGTTGGACGGAAGGGGTTTCGCCCATCCAGGCGATACGCGTCAAGGGAAGCTAGGTTCCAAACCCAGCGCCCAGGCTGGGGCGCAAGAAGAGGCAGGAACGAGCCGAGAGGCAGGGGAGGTTTCCTTTTCAACCCCGGCCAGAATAGGCCCAAAACCCAGCCGAAGTGACTAGAGAGGCCAGGTGGGAGCGAGACTGGGGCGCTTCCACGCACAATGGCTAAGGATAACCCAGAACACCTACATTCTGGAGGCCTCCACAGGGGGTACAGAATAGAGTTCACAAGGGCCCCCCCTCAGAGATTCTTTGCAACACCCCTGCCAAAGGACAGGGCTATGGCGGATGCGCTGGTGGACCTCCTACAAAATATGCTCAGTCAGAACTTTATCTGCCAGTTGAGAGAAGAGGAAAGGGGAAGTGGATTCTTCTCCCATTTCTTTCTAAGGAAAAAACCGTCAGGTACTTACAGGATGATATTGAATCTGCGGAAGGTGAACGAGTTCGTGAGGCCCAGCAAATTCCGTATGGAATCCATATACACGGTGAAGGAACTCCTTTCACCTGGGGTGTTCATGGCCTCGATAGATCTGCAAGACGCATACCTACATGTCCCGATAAGAGAAGATTCCAGGAGATTCCTGAGGTTTGCGCTGGAAGGAGAAAAGGGTCCGGTGCTATTTCAGTTCAACACACTCCCCTTCGGCCTGTCGTCGGCCCCGAGGATATTCACCAAGATTTTAGCGGAGCCTTTAAGAGTTTTGAGACTGGAAGGGATAAACATTATCCCCTATTTGGACGACCTGCTTGTATTTGCGGACACAGAGGGAGGCCTGAGATCGCACATCGAACGTACGATATCTTTTCTGGAAAGTCTGGGGTGGCTTATCAACAAGGAGAAGTCACAGCTAACCCCCTCCAAGAGGATTACGTACTTGGGGTACGTCCTGGACTCCGCACAGGCCCGATCGTACCTAACATCAGAAAAAGCCCTCAACCTGCGGCAGGACACAAGGGCCCTCCGGAGGATGTCGACCTGCACGGTCAGGACCGCGATGAGAATAATCGGGCGGATGACAGCGGCAATTCCAGGGGTGCAATGGGCGCAACTTCACTCCAGGGTGCTGCAAAATCACACCCTTTCCCACTGGGACGGCAGCCGAGCAGGTCTGAGTTCCAGGATCCGCATCACGCACGAAGTGAAGGAATCGCTAAGGTGGTGGGGAAGCAGCCTCACCTTGGAACGAGGAAGAAGTTGGAGGCTGGCCAACCCACTGCGGATCACCACGGATGCAAGCATGACTGGTTGGGGCGCCCATATGGAAGACGGCCTGGCCCAGGGCACGTGGAGTGCAGTAGACTCCAGCAGGTCGTCAAATTACAGGGAGCTGCTGGCAGTTTTCAAGGCACTTACGACCTTTCAGGAAAAGATAAGGGGGAGAGGTGTCCAGATTCTCTCCGACAATACCACTGCAGTGGCGTATTTGAACAGGCAGGGAGGCACAAGGTCCCCAAGGCTGATGGAGTTGGCCGGATCCCTCCTGAGCTGGGCGGAGGAAAACCTGGAGTTCATCACGGCAGTACATCTGAAAGGGACCTGAACCAGTTGGCGGATCAACTGAGCCGAAGAGAGGTCATCCAGACAGAATGGTGCCTCAGCCAGTCAGCGTTCGATCAGATTTGCGCCAGGTGGGGCTCCCCCTCTATCGATCTATTTGCCAACGGCCAGAACACAAAGCGGGAAAGGTACTTCTGCCTGCAGAAGGACCCCAAAAGCGAGGGGATAGATGCGCTAGCCCAGCAGTGGGAAGGAGACCTCCTTTATGCCTTCCCTCCATTCAGACTACTGCCGAAGGTGATTCAGAAGATCCGGGGTGTCTCAAGCCAAAGTTATTCTGATCGCGCCATTCTGGCCCAAGAGATCTTGGTTCTCCCGGTTGAAGGAGCTCAGTTTAGCAGACCCTTGGATGATACCACCCACGCGCGATTTACTCAACCAAGGGAGGGTGATGCATCCTCATCCAGAAAGGCTGTCCTTAGCGGCGTGGCTTCTGAGCGGGACAGGCTAGCGGAAAAGGGGCTCTCGGCAAGAGTGGTCGCCACCCTTTTGGATGGCCGGAAGAGGTCGACGAACGCCTTGTACGACAAGGTCTGGAAGAAGTTTTCCGCCTGGAAGGTCAGAAATGAAGCACCGGGCACGCCCATTTTGCATACAGTTCTTGAATTCCTTCAAGCCGGGGCGGATAAGAGTCTGGCCGCCAATACCCTCAAAGTACAGGTAGCGGCTCTGTCGAACTTTCTCGAGCTGAGGTTGGCGGCAGACCCATTAGTAATCAGATTCCTGAGGGCTATCTCCAGGCGCCGTGCCCTGTCCTTGCCAAAACTTCCATCATGGGACCTGGGCACAGTCCTGAAGAGCTTTCAGCGGGGGCCTTTCGAACCGCTGGATGAATGTTCGCTCAGATCTTTGACTCTTAAAACCATCCTCCTCACGGCACTAGTTTCTGCCCGCAGGGTCAGCGAGTTGCATGCCCTTTCAGTGATCGAGCCGTACTGCACCATCTTATTGGATGAATCATCCTCCGCACGGACGCGGCCTTCCTACCTAAGGTTGCGTCACACTTCCATAGATCTCAGGAAATAGTAATACCTTCCCTGGAGGCCGATCCGGGCAGCGCGGAGGACTGTAGCAGGTTAGACGTATGACGGTGTTTGATCACGTACATCGAACGCACAAAGACATGGAGACGCTCGTCCCGGCTTTTCGTCCTATTCCAGGGACCAAGGAAGGGGGACGGTGCCTCCAAGGGCACCATCGCCAGATGGATCAGAGAGGCAGTTTCAGAAGGTTACAAGTCGGCAGGCCTGTCACCACCGCCCGGCCTAAAAGCCCACTCCACAAGGGCCACTGCGGCCTCCTGGGCGGAAAAAGGGGGGGCCTCCCCCGGACAGATCTGCAGAGCCGCGACGTGGTCCAGTTTCGCCACCTTCACTAAACATTACAGGCTGGATCTGATCGGCAGCAAGGACCAGGCATTTGGCAGGAAGGTCCTACAAGCAGGGTGCCCGCCCTAATGTACGTATTTCTATTCTACTCCTCTCAAGTGAGCTGTCCTAGAAGATGACTCGGGAAAACGCAGTTATTTACCTGTTAACTGTATTTCCAGGAATCTTCTAGGACAGCGTAACTCCCCCCCCGATTACTGTTTGATCACACGATTATGTGCAGGTATGTTGCGAACCTATGGGGGATATCTTTATTACTGGTTTTCTTCTTTGTTTTTCTCCTAGGCCTTCGGTCATATTCTTATACTGGGGGCCAATGGGAGAGAGGACGCCTATAAAGGGGAAAAAAAGGTGGAGCGGGTGTTTCCTGGGAGGAGCCCTATCTCTCAAGTGAGCTGTCCTAGAAGATTCCTGGAAATACAGTTAACAGGTAAATAACTGCGTTTTTTTTTTTTTTTTTTTCTCCTAGTTGATTGAGGAGGACCGGAAAAGAGCAGAGCAAGAAGGCAATGCTGTGACCACGCCAAGAAAAGTCAAAATTCCAGATGACGAGCCAGACAAAGCACGGAAAGAAAAGGAGAATTTCTCCATAACACTTGATGTATCTGCTGGGGTGAGACTCTTTTCCTGCTTCTTGATGTATTTACAGTGGATATAAAAAGTCTACATACCCCTGTTAAAATGTCAGGTTTCTGTGATGTAAAAAAATGAGACAGATAAATAATTTCAGAACTTTTTCCACCTGTTTTGATGTGACCTATAAACTGTACAACTCAATTGAATAACAAACTGAAATCTTTCAGGTGGAGGGAAGTAAAATTACAAAAACCTAAATTATGGTTGCATAAGTGTGCACACCCTTAAACTAATACTTTGTTGAAGCACCTTTTGGTTTTATTAGAGCACTCAGACTCATACCCAAAAATACTATCAGCAACACTGCAAATCTGTCAGATTGTGAGGGCATCTCCTGTACACAGCCCTCTTCAGATCACCCCATCGATTTTGGATCGGTTTCAGGTCTGGGCTCTGGCTGGGCCATTCCAAAACTTCAATCTTCTGCTGGGGAAGCCATTCCTTTGATTTGGATGTATGCTTTGGGTCGTTGTCATGCTGAAAGATGAAGTTCCTCTTCATGTTCAGCTTTCTAGCAGAAGCCTGAAGATTTAGTGACAATATTGACTGGTATTTGGACCTGTTCATAATTCCCTCTACCTTGACTGAGGCCCCAGTTCCAGCTGAAGAAAAACAGCCCCAAAGCATGATGCTGCCACCACCATGATTCACTGTGTGTATGATGTTCTTTTGGTGGTGTGCAGTGTTTTTGCGCCAAACATGTCTTTTGGCATTATGGCCAAAAACTTCTACCTTGGTTTCATCAGACCTTAACAAATTTTCCCACATGCTTTTGGGAGACTTTAGATGGGTTTTTGCAAAATTTAGCCAGGCTTGGATGTTCTTCTTCATAAGAAAATTGCTTCCGTCTTGGCATGCCTAAAAGTTCCTGAGAGATGTACTGTATGAAAAGGAAAAAGATAGCTACTCTGGACCCTAATTAAGTATAAACCAGGGGTGTGGACATTTTTGAAAAACTACTTGTCCCTCATGACAATCTACTTGTCCGGATATAAAAAAAAAAAAAAAAGTCTGGGGCTTTTAAAAACAAAAAAAGATTGCTTTATGGTGCCTTTTAAACCTTTAATGTTTTAACACTGCGCTGTTTATCTCCTACTCGCCTGCCTGTCTCCAGCACCTCACTCAGGGACTAGCAGGAAGGAGTCTGATTGCTTGCTCATCAGGAAAAGGAAGAGTAGGGCTCTCTTAATGCTCAGCAGAAAGCACACCTGCTGAGTGAGTAAATGAGGCAGCAGCTCCCAATGAGAACGAAAAGGATTTTTCTTTCCTGCAATCACGGGTTGCAGGAAAGAAAATCACTCGCTTTCCCCCATCAACACAGTCAGTGCTGATGGGGTAAATCCCTTCCATGGAGTGGAATGTGTTTTTGGTATTCAGAAAAATAGCAATGTACCTTTTTTTTTTTTTTTTTTTTTTTTTTTTTTTTTGTATTGTTTTAGCATACTTGTTTTTCAACATATTACAGGAGAAAAGAATAGTAAGTGATAGTAAATCCCCTCGAGGCTCACACACCCCTACTCGTACCGAAACATCTCCAAAAAGCCCCACCCAAAGGACAAGTGGACGAACAGGATCTCACACAGGAGGAAGAAGCCCACATTTTGACAGACCGGGAGACCCTTTCAAAATTGATGGTGACACCACCCACCCAGCTGAAAGGCCGGCAAGAGGTAGGAGGAGCCAAGGTGCTGAAGGGCCAAGAAGCAGTCCACGGGTAGCTAAAGAAGACCCCCCGGTAGACCAGTGGGGAGCAATTCCTAGAGGCGGAAGAAGTCGAGGACGAGGTGGAGGCACACCAGGAAGAGGAGGTAGTCACAATGGAGGTGGTCACAGTGGAAACGCAGAGGGAACTGACAGAAAGGTCAAGGTATACCAATTTAATTTGTCATCTATTTCATTTTAAAATTTATAACTAAATGGATTTTAATAGATTTTTTTTTTTTTTTTTTTTTTTTCTTTAAACAGGAATGGGAGGAGAAAAGAAAGCAGAATATAGAAAAGATGAACGAGGAGATGGAAAAAATTGCAGAGTATGAAAGGAACCAAAGGGTGTGTATTTAGAATAAAGTATTTCTAAAACAAAGAAAAAAATAAATAAAAATGCTCACACATTGATAAACGAAAAAAAATGCATTTATTACTTTCAGCATTAAGGCCCACAAAGCAGTGCAACTGCAATCAGTGTGTAATGGGTGGCATGTGTTAGCTCTTCCTCTAGCCCCAAGTTTGTATGGAGCTATGATTATGGTGTCACAAGTAAAAAAAAAATATAATCAACTGCTAGCTTATTTCATTTGATACAAGCCTCCACAGTCAAGCTAGGAGACCGTGTGTTACATCTTGTAGCTGACAGAAAAGTTAAGCTTAATAAAGAGTCAAGTAAACCTGTAGAACTATAGTGGAAATAAAAAGTCTACAAACCCCTGTAGAAATTCTAGGTTTTGAGATGTAAAAAAAAATCAGACCAAGATCACTTTGGAATTTTTTTCCACCTTCCATGCGAGTGCAAAACAGCGCTGTGGTGGTTCATTGAGAACTACAAGCCGACAGCCGCAAATGATGTTGGTACTTGTAGTTCGTTCACAGAACTCCGAATGAATGACGCAGCCGTGTGGACGAAGCCCCACGCAGCCATGCTCATTTCAGAAAGTGACAGCTGGTATGGGGAACCTCTCACCGCACTGCTGTCACACAGGCAGCTGATCGCTCGCTGAGCAGCTGCAGGAGTGGGAACATGTTATCTATTGTACACCCCTTAAGGGTTAGGGACTGATGTGAATGTACAATATATATGTAAAGCGCTGTGTAAATTTGACTGCGCTATATAAGTACCTGTAATAAACAATATATTCTACCCTAAAAACAGGTGGAATTGGAACATGTTCCTGAAGGGGAACTTGCGCTTTAAACAATCACATTGAAGCTGATGTTAACTAGTAATCTGTACACATCTGCCATCAAATGAAAGTTTCTCTGATTAAACACCTGGTCACATCAAACCCGATTTTGAAATCGTACGATCTGCCGATTTCAGTTGCAATCTGACACCGATGTCTGTGCAAATCGCAACAAAAGTAATGCATGCACCACTGTAGAAATCAGTGCGGCTCCGACCAAGTCGGAACTGCATCGATATGACTACTCTAATAGCGGACAATAGGGTGCGACTTGGCATACGATTTGCAAATTGCATGCCAAGTCGCACCTGATGTGCTAAGAGGCCTATAGCAAAAGTAAATGAGCTGTAGGTATTTCTGGCAAGTACTGGTTATGTACTGCTTGTGAACACAATCTCCCTTATTCTTCATATGTCTGGGCTGTGGGGTTGGGTGGCAAGATGGAAGCCTTTTCATACTAACAAAAAACATCCAAGCCCCTTAAGTAGCCCCAAGCTACTTTGCAAAAACCTATATAAAGTCTGCCAAAATCATGTGGGGAAATATTATGGTCTGATGAGACCAAGAATGAAGTATTTGGCCATAATTCCGAAAAAAGTATGTTTGGTGCAAAACCAGCATTCTGCTATAAAACACCATGTACACAGTGAAGCATAAGGGTGGCAGCATTATGCTTTGGGCCTGTTTTTTTCTTTGGGCTCATTTACTAGTGTGTCAATACAGTGTGTTTATTCAGCATTTTTAAAGCCTCAATCTGCATTCAATGCATGTCATGAATATTACAATGGCACCATACAGTGCTGTTCACACAGGAGCAGTAGTGTTGTTGAGTCCTGTTAAAATTTAAGAGGCTCGTTCCTTTCATGAGGCATTGATGCTTGTCAGCCAGCTCCATTGATTTCAGTGGTAATGCTGTCACCGCACCTTAACACACCTATAGCAGTTATGGTGTGTTAGTTGAGCATTTATAAAGTGTTACATGAGTACTAGAGGAGATATCGTGGAGGCTCTTGTATCCTAGAATGCTCTAGGAAATGATAGAGAACTAGGACAAAGCAGCTCTAGCTGCTTCCTGCTTGTACAGAGCCACCGTGTGATAACACTGTTTGCTTCTGTGCAGCAAAAGCATCAACCAGCCAGCGCTACTGACAGTGCCAGGCAGGAGCAGAGACGGTGAGCATTTATTGCCAGTGACAAAACTTTTTGTTTCAGCAATGCTGAACTGGACCAAGCCAAGTCTCAAAGACATCAAAATATACAAATATTTCTTGCAGAGAAATCACAAAAATGTCTGTCACGTCTCAATGTAAATTTCCTCTACATCTCGGGTGCTCAACCCATGGGCCACATGTGGCCCTTGAAATCAAACTGAATGCAGGCGTTTTGGTTCCCTTTCAGAAAGTACACCACACCAGCAAGATATAATAAAGACTATGGCAAAGCGCAGCTAACCTTCAGGAAAGCCACAGGTGCACAGTGCTGCACTCATGGTGTGGTAAACATGCAGTACACCAGTGTGAAAGCAGCCTTATAGGAGGCTTAGGATAGTAAGGGCTCATTTACATTTGCTCTTGGGGGGGGCAGTAAAACCCTATAGTTAAGGCGTGTTTTTACCACTTAAGTGGCCCTTGCGCCTCAAAAGGTTAAGTGCATCTGCTCTGCTTCATAAATCAATTCCACTTTAAGCACTTCCCACTAGCAAAGCAACATTTTCATGGGCATTTAACAAGCATTCTGGTAACTTTTAACACTTGATAAACACACTGAAAACACATCATGAACACACCATAAATGCTATATGTGTTTTTAATAAGTATTGCTTCATTCTTCATAATAAACGCACAGATGAACGAGCCATTCCACTGGAATTGGGGCTTAGTCAAGGTGGAGAGACATATGAACAGTTCCAAATATTAATTTTGGCGCAAAACTTGCAGGCCTCTGCTAAGTATGACTACGACCCAAATCCTATGTCAACTGTATAGCATCAAGCCTGTATATAGTAATTCTTGCCTAAGCTCATTTATACATTCTAAAGGTAACTATTTTGGCACTGGGATGATCTACTGAATGCCTGTACACAATGCAGTAAAATGAATTATTGCTTCCATTGTACTTGCTCACAAAAAAACTCAAAGGAAAAATTTCATTTCAGTGCAGTCCAAAAATATTTGTCAGAATAATCACAGTTTTAGGAGTGTTGGTATATATATTTTTTTTTTATTCTGCTCCATTACTAGCTATTATATTTGTGACAGACATTTATTGTAGCGCTCACCATTTATGCAGTGTTTTACAAACTGCACATTCACATCAGTCCCTGTCCTCAAACTTACCATTTACGGTTCCCATCTCAAATACACCCACAAGTTCCAATTAACCTAGCATGTCTTTTGGAGTGTAGGAAAAAACTAAGTAACCAAAGGAAACCCACACAAGCACAGATAGATTATGCAAGTTCCAAGTTCCATGCTGATAGTGTTGTGGCTTTTTTTCTATTCCCAGCCAGCTTACACCTTTTTGGTTTAATCATTTTTTATATTTCACCTAGGATGGCGTAAGAGAAAAAAATCCAATTCGCAACTTTCTTGATGACCCTAGGAGGACCGGTCCTATTGCAGAGGTTGACAGAAAGGAGGGTAGTCGCAGGCACAACAGAAACTGGGGAGGTCCTGATTTCGAGAAGGTGAAAACTGGTATGGACCGAGAGAAGGAAAGTCATGTAAGTAGCTGAGGTTAATAGTTACTGGTAGGAATCTTCTGTTGCTTGGGTATTTTTTTTTTTTTTTTTATGTTTAGTCAATTGCATTTCTGAGCAAGTGAGATATAGCTTAGAGCTGTGGAAAGTCTTTCATGCATTGCATGTGCCTGTTGGTAAAGCGAAGTTATTTAGAGACAAAGGTGTATGTTGAGAGTAAATCACACATGCAAGAGGGAGTAAACTCCTCGTGCAGTATCGCATACAATGTATTAATTCCTCAAAGACAAGCGGATACTCACAAGCGATTTAAACATAGCAGACACATAACATGAATCATTCTGCCTTGGGCAGTACATCCCATCATGGAACCATCTGGTCAGAAAGCTAATGCATTTTGGGAGTCAACTCTTAAAATGGCCACGGAACTTCAGCTGCCCTCCTTTCAGCTAATGAGCCAGTGGGCAGGGCCTGATGGTAGACACCCCTTACAACCCAAATGCTGTCCTCAACATCCTAGTCAAAAATATGGTGCAGAGCTGATGACACAATAAATGGTGGGGAGGATACACAAATCAAAAGACTGACTGCCAAGTAGGATAATAATCAATATGTATACCACCAACGTTCCTGCAGCAGAACTTCTACTCTTCTGGCCTATGTTCTAATTGTTTCCTAATTAGCCAGTAGAGTGGAAGCTCTTCTGCAAGAATGTTGGTGGGATACATATTATCATATGATGGGGTGTACTCCTAAGGCTGAAGTATGTTATACGCCTGCTGTTTTTAATGGTTTGTGAGTATCCATTTGTCTTTGGGGATTTCATAAATTGTATGGTGGTAATGCACAAGGAGTTTGTTCCCTCTTGTGTGTGTTTTCTACAGTTGACTGGCAATTCCCAGTCTGTGGAGGGCTGCATCTGAGGAAGCATTGTGCACCTTGGTACCTTTTTTAGAGCACCTTGGATTGAGTGCTGGAGTGTTTTTTGGCTATTTTAGTAAGAGTAAATCAATTAAGAAGTGGTGTTTAAAATTGCTTCATGCTTTTTGTTTTTTATTCCGTCCTTGAGTCAGGGTTTAAAACACTGTGTATTAAAGGTATAAAAGAAAGATAGAGGTTGCTATTCCTGACCTATCTCAAAAATACTAGATGCTTGGTTGGCTGTGTAAAAGTGTGTCTCTGGGACAGGAAGTGAACAGAAATCTCCCCAAGGAACTACGAAGTTATTCTCCCCTTCAGAGTCCCACCTACCAGATTACTAGTTACCCCCCCCAGCAGAGACAGATATATAACAGTGAATATTTCACTTTTGGTGGTGAACCATACTGTACTCTTTAGGGAGAAGGTCATTGCAAGCAGTGTTGTGGTTTCTTTTGCTAGCCGAACTTGGGAACATATTTGAAAAAAAAAACAAGCAAACAAAAAAAGTTACTTAGGTTTTTTTTTTGTTTTTTTTTTTTTTCTAAATGATCATAAAATGCATGTTTGGGGGGTGGAGATAAGAAGGGAGAGCAGAGGGATGACCCTAATGAGTATGCTGCTCTTCTTGATTGCTCATCCATAGAATGAGGATGGGAAGGTGACTTGGCTATGCTGCATAATTGCAGCAGGAAATGGGTCACTTGGCTGTACTGTGTGGCTAGAAATAGGGGTCCTTTTCTGCAGGTAATACAATTCAGCTTTAGGTACAAAAGTTAGGCTTTGTTATAAGACCCTGTGGCCAACAATGACTTTTTTTTTTTTTTTTTTTTCAAAAGGTGAGAAGACCTGGAGTAAAAAATCAAGTGGACATGACCATGTCAATGACCGGCAGAGAGCGAGCAGAATATGTGCGCTGGAAGCAAGAGCGTGAACAGATCGATCAAGAGAGACTGGCACGACATCGAAAGCCTACCGGCCAGTGGAGGAGAGAGTGGGATGCAGAGAAAACTGACTCTATGTATGGCGCAACACTTACTTGTTTTATATTTAGTTTTTAAATTTAATAATCTGTGTCCCTAGATGGGTAGTGTATCATTTTATAATTTATTATTATTCAGGATTTATATAGCGCCAACTATCTAAGAGGAAGGGTTGAGTAATACAAAAGGTAATAGCTGTGGGGGCGATTATTATTATTCTACAGGATTTATATAGCGCCAACTGTTTGCGCAGCGCTTTACAAAATGGCCTGACATCCAAAGGTTTGACTAAAACACCATTTTCCATGTACCAGGTGTGGATTATATACAGTAAGACATAAACATCAAATATCTAAAATATCAATTTTTACTCCTGGTTTCATCTAAAATACATTATTTTTTTTTTTTTTTGCCTTACAACTTTAGTGACCTAACTTACCGGCACCTATAATGAAATATTTCCCACATTGTGCAGGCAGCTGTACGCAATGCGGGAATGCCCCATCCTCTTCCTATCTCTGAACGTACGGCTCAGAGGGGGTTAAAAGCTCCCTGAGTCCCTAGGCTGAGTTCAGTTCAAAGAAAAAAAGTTCATGATAGTGACCCATCCTCTCCTCTGCTTTCACTTCATGTAACACGGTCTGTGGATGAATTAGATTCTCCCCCATTCACTGATCGTTTTACAGGCAGTGAAAGCACTTTTCTTGATGGATGAGAGGGGAGGAGGGGGTGGGTTCCCATCAGCATTTTTTTTTTCCTTTTTGAATTTACCCTAGAGGCCCGAAGCTATTAGCTGCCTGCGTGCTAGAAGTTCAGAGACAGAAGGTAAACAGGGAATCCCCTGCAGTAAAGGTTTCTACAGGATCCAGCAGCCTGCAAGATGTAGGACATACTTCAGTATAGGTAAATTAGCTTAAGCTGTAGGATTGAAAATAGTTTTTAGAGGTCAGTCCAAAAAAACAAAACTCCCAAAAGATGTAATAATGTGAAATCCTACAATGGTTTGAACAGAACATGTATGTTCCCATACATCTACCCTTTACCATCCTCTAAATTGCTTTTCCTTTTGATAGTGGAATTGTGGCAGTATTTTGACGTGATTGTAGAACCTGGCCTGCTTCTTCACTAGTTCTAACTTCATATTTTGTTTGGCAGGTTTAAAGATGGATCCGCCCCTCACATAGAGGATGAACCAATGGGCAAAAGAGGCAAGTATTTATTTTTTGTTTGCGTGCCATTAAGAGGGTTCCCAATTGGCAGTTCTCCCTTCCTCTTCTGTGATGACTCAGAAGTTAGGATTATGCAAAATTTTATGTCCTCTGACAGTGTCCTATTATAGCAATGCACATTAAAACTGGATTGTACAGTTGTTCAATTTTATCTCAAAGTAGATTAAAATATATTTAGGGATAAAAAGGTTTACTGCTGTCTGTTGGTTTGTGCAAAAAGGCATTTTTCATAAAAAATTATTTTTCTATTAGAAAATAGAATTATGAAATTTACCAAAGAAACTTTTAGATGCAACCCTTCTTAATTTGGGGTTACATTTGAATTATTTATTTCTTTATTGTCTGTTTAAAACCTATTCCTTTTTATAATTTTCATAACATATTTTATACATAATTTCTAAAGCACGATGAATGTGTGGCTTGCATTGTGTTATTTCTCCTACACTTATCAGAGTTCTGCTTGCCAACTGTGAACAGTGGCTTGTTTAACATTCAGTATCTTGTTTTTTACAGACTCTGGTAAGAAAGGTGCTCCAAAGCCTCCCACCATGGCAGAGTTTCTTCCGAAGAGCCTTCAAAGCCCGGGACAAAAGAGAGATCAGAAGAGAGGCCGAGGGAGAAACAAGCCATACAGGTGTGTGTTGGGAGGGACCGAAAGGCTTTTTTTTTTTTTTTTTTTTTTTTTTTTTTTTTTCCTAGCAAATTTTTTTTTCTTTTAAGCCTTTTTGCTGGCAGAGCTGTTTTTTGCATTTTTTTTGCACGTTTGAAAATAATTTTAGACCTGAAAATTGCGTAAAACCCCCTAAACATATATTTTCTGAAAGCTGACACCCTAGAGAATAAAATAGTGGTAGTTCCAATTTTTTTACATTGCACGATATTTGCACAAAGGTCTAAGAAATGCAAAAGTGTCATTAAAGTTTAATTTCAGGGCACACAAATTTCCCAATCAGGCTGTGCCGAGTAAATGGATCCCCAGCGTCTCAAAACTTAAAATCTGTGTGCACTTGTGAAACAGCGACAAGCTTTAGTACCCTATGTTTTCCATAGGAGACACTTTAAAAGCCCCTACAGGTCATCAGATTAGCGTTCCATAAACACTCTTGTGCTAAAATGATTCTCATGCTTGCATGTGTGGTAATATGGTATGGGTATCACAATTATGGTTTCCATGTGTAGGCGGCCCTAACGTGCATTGAAGGCTAGTACACACCAGATGTAGTCCAGTACATTTTTTTTTTTCTCTGCATCATAAATGCATCCACAGTGTTTTCCATGTATTCCAATGGCCCTAGTTCACACCGGTCCAGTCTGTTTCCGGTACAGAAAAGTAGAACATGCTGCACTTTATTTCTGCACAGATCCATACTGGAACATGGCAAACTGCACTGGAACGGAGTGTGGTGTGAGCTATAAGCAAAAATGTATCCAAAATGCATCTGGAGTGCTTTTTTTTTTTTTTTTTTTTGTGGTGTGAACTGGCCCTCACAGTTGTACATGCATTGGGGGTGGGGGGAACCTTGCATTTTTTTGGCAGGGGTTTTATGCCATTGGGTAACTTTCATTTTTTTTAACTTTTTTTTTTTTCTTTCCCGAGATATGTTCTCTTTTACCACTTGCTGACCGCAGATAGCCGAATGACGGCTTCACTGCGGCTGGCCAGTTCTGGGAGGGCATCATATGACGCGGCACCCGGCGATCTCCATGATTGCTGTGTCCTACGGACACAGCTGATCACATGATGTGGTAAAAGGCCAATCACAGCGGTCTTTTACCATGTGATCAGCCATGTCCAATGACACAGCAGATCACTGGTAAATGCAGTTGACTGTTATCCGCTGCACTTTTCTCACGCTGTCCGTGTGAGGAAAGTACTGCCGATAACTGCCAATTGTCAGAGGAGAGATCGGCACCGATCATCAGGGCACTGTTGATCAGTGCTGCCCAGCAGTGCCGCCTATCAGTGCCAACTCGTCAGTACTGCCTATCAGTGCAGCCTCATCAACGAACATCAGTGAAGGAGAAAAATTACCTGTTTGCAAAGTTTTATAATCGATACAAAGAAAAACATTTTTGCTCTTTTTTTTTTTGTTTTATAGCGCAAAAAATAAAACACCCAGCATTGAGTACATACCACCAAAAAAAAGCTCTATTTGTGTGAAAAAAATGATATAAATTTCATATGGGTCCATTGTTGCATGACCGTTCAGTTGTCACTCAAAGTGCGACAGCGCTGAAAGCTGAAAATTGGCCTGGGCAGGAAGGAGGTATAAGTGCCTGGTAGGCAAGTGGTAATGAGACATCAGGGGACTAAAATACCCCCGATGTCTCACCTTTTCTCCAATTAATCTAATGTAGTGCACATCGTACTACATTAAAATCTTCCGCAGCCATATATTCAAGGAGAACTGACACCGGGACCCAGAAGTGACTTTCTTCACCCTTACTCCCTGAGTGTTGAATGGTAAAGACCCTGATGGGGAACTCTCATGCTGGAACAGAGTGAAGGAAGGAGATAGGGGCTTCCAGAGAGTTAAGCAGAATGGTGTTGATTTGCTAAAACGGGAGAGTGCAAACTTTGGTGCAGCTGTTCATGGTAGTCAGTCGTCTTCTAACCTCAGCTTCTTCAATTAGGCTTTGACAAAGAAAAACCTGGAAGCTGATTGGTTTCTATGAATAGCTCCACCAGATTTTGCACTTTCCGGTTTTAGTAAACAACCTGTTTCCTCGATCTATATATAAATATGTACACACAGTTAAGTGTCACAATGTGAGGATAGATAAAGCCAAAGTCAGCACAACCGGTTCTACTTTTTTTGGCTTATTTTCTGCCAAACATATATATATGGAGATGAAAATATATTTGTGTACAGATTACTGTTGTCAAATTATTGTGCTGTGACCATTTTACTAAGTGTACTTATATTGTGCCACATTTATCACCTCTTTAAAAATAAAAAAAACATGATTATTCTTAACCCTATTTGCCCTTCGTTCCAGCCTAACTCTGTAAACCTTACCTTCCACTTAAATCACAATACAATCCCTTCACTTCATTCTAACTTCTAAATGTTGCCCATAACCCTAAATATTACAGTGATAAGTACTGTACTATCACAGCAATAAATTCCTGTCACCAATTGGGCCGTTACCAACTTTACTAAAACTATTACATCAAACATTTCATGCAACAGTACAAATCTGTTATAATATTAGTCATACTTTGTTACTGATATGCAGTTAGCCAAAAATCAACATCACAAACCCCTCCTCTAAAATGTCTTGGTCCATATTAATGTGTTATTGTCGCAATTACCCAAGGCAGTTCCCTGCAACGAAAGAAATGTAGTTTTTACAGCAACTGCCTTCTGTCTAAACAGAGGGGCTCTCAATTGTGTGTCTATGAACTGAACAGTCTGTGCTGTCAATAGCTGTCTTTTACCTTCCACTGTACTGATTTTGATCCTTCAAACAGGATTTAGAGCTATCATTACAGTTTTTGTACAGTGTTCTACCTCCCCATGGGGATTACACATATATATTACTTTGTTACATGTAGCTATGTGCTTCCTAAGTCTAGTTGTGAAGTCTAACCTCCCTCCCCTCTGTGTTGCAAATATGACAACAGCTTGAAAGGAAAACAATCCATTTTGACTCTCTGCAAGAGGAATGCAGAGAGACAGGAGGCTGACACCTACCCGCTGTATTCCTCTTGTCTCGGGAAAGTGCTCTGTAACTATGGATCCATCTTATTCCAAGCTGTTGGAGTTTCCGCATAGGGAGTGCGGGCTAGTTTGACTTCATAACTAGACGTAGGAAGCACCTAGCTACGTGAGTACTTCATGTACTTTGCCATATGGGAGGCGGGTGGGGGGTGGAGGGGTCAGAACAATATAGAAAATGTTGCATAATTGCTCTTTTCATGATCTTATTTTAGGCCAGTGTTTCTCAACTCCAGTCCTCATGGACCCCCAACAGGTCATGTTTTCAGGATTTCCCTCAGATGAAACAGCTGTGGTAATTACTAAGGCAGTGAAACTGATCAAATCACCTGTGCAAAATAATGGAAATCCTGAAAACATGACTTGTTGGGGGTCCATGAGGACTGGAGTTGAGAAACACTGTTTTAGGCAAACCCTCTAAGCCCTGGTTCACACCAAATGCAATTTCAAAGTGGTGTGATTTGGTCCCATTTAAAGCATGACTTCAAAGTAGCGCTGATATAGACACAGGCGCAATTTCAGTGCCATTTACCTTATACTCGGAGTTAAATCGCACTGAGGTGGTCCAAAAGTAATGCAGGAACTATTTTTCCAATCGCGCTACCTGAAATCACACCTATTAGGACCGTGCCATAGAAATACATTATATGCAACTTCAGGTACGGTTCGTAAATCACATGTCGCAGCTGAAGTCGCAGCAGTGTGACCTTTGCCTACATACTTGGTGCTATAAGGTGCCCCTCTTTCCTATGGCAGAAAGTTGGTTTCTCCAGAGGAGGGGCTCAGAAATTCAGGGTAATCCTTGTTACCCAACTCTGTATGAATCCAACGTGAAACTCTGTACAAGTCAGATTACTATGGGTAAAGTGTCTGCTATTTTAATATTCATAGTAGTGCGCAAGTTTTTTTTATTCACATTTGTATGTACTATTTTTAAATGTGGGGAAAAAAAAAAGAAAGTTCTGCTTTACATCCACCCATGTATGGATTTTCTCCAGTGCCTGTTGTTGCAAGGTTATATTGTACAAGTCAGTCTGCTGCAGAGAATAAATTACATTCCTGATATTTTGTAATAGCATGCATGACAGTCGTTGGGAAGAAGATGAGGAGGAAGAAGTAAACGAAAAAGACAAAACCTTGCCTTTGGAGGAAAAAGAGAAGGAGACATGTGTGGAGAAAACGGTAAGAATCCTTGTGGCACTCCAACCAAAATCCTTAGCCTTTAACAAAACCTAGTCTAAGTTCACCTTTTTAAAATCAATGCACATGATTTTGTAGGTAAAGAAATGTGCATTTGTTTATTTTTTTTTTTGTTGTTTTACAGGAGCCTAAAAAGCATTCCAATATCAGGCTCCTGTTTAATAGTAACATGTTACACCCTAAACGCATGTGTACCATGTTACTAAATGTGAACTTATCCTTTTTAAATGTTTGGGCCTCCATCCGGAAGATTTTCTCTCAACATGCAGGATAAAAGGAAGAGAGCCTATCACATGTTTTTGTCTTGTGTGTTTTTTTTTTGTTTTTTTTCCTTCAGTATGTGTACCACTTGCAAAGTTCTCATCCCACTTCCTGTCCAAATCAGAATAGTCTTTGAGACAGAAAGAGAAAGCTTTCTCTCTCTCCCTTAGCAGATGTAGCCCACTCTCCCAGCTAGATGCTTACCTAGATTTCTATGTAAACTTTTAAACAATGTTTATATCCCTCTGCCTGCTTCTTCACCCGATGTCTGCACATGTACAGTTTACCTCTATAGAATTCTATCGGGACGGGAGTTGGATCAGCTCTTATCCATCTTCCAACCCAAAAATTTTTACCCTTTAAGTCAGACATATCTAGCCAACTATCATTTTCAAAAGGAAGACAACTATGCCAGCCCCCATACTTCTCTTGTGACCTAGTGTAGATAATGATACAATCCAAAGATATCCTGGGTCCTCTAATATAAACTATGGACTTTATTCAAACCTTGTGTTCTATGTTAATGTATTTTACATTTCCCAAGGTTTGATATCCCTTGATGCTCTTATTACTGATAAATCACAGTGGTAATGGATCAAGGGATCATGCATCTGGGTGTGCATTGGAATGGCCATGATGGCATGACCATCTGGAGGCATTAATAATTCCAAGTAAGCATCTCGATTAAAGCATATGTCAAGGCAAAAATTAAATTAACACATGCTGTACATCACTGCAATACATGCACATTTTTCAGTGTTTCATATTTGTAATAGATCCTGCAAGTCCCGTTGAGGGCTGACCATATGCAGCATTTTTGTGTGTCGAGTAGTTCCAGCCTTGCCCAGTTTTCTTTTGCTAAACTACCTAGGCCCAACTACTCTCCCATCTCCATAACAGACTCCTCTTCTTTTCTTTTTTTTTTTTTTTTTTTTCAATGCAGGAAGTGTACACAAGATAAGGCAGCTCTGAATATCTGATCTAACAAAACACCTTCAATGTTTTCCAGACCAAATGGAAGCAAATAGATGTTCATGGTTAGGGTTTTCATATGCTTTAAAATATGTACTCTTGTTTAATTTGAGTCTGAGGTTGCTTTATAGAGGACAGTGCTCAGCACAAATTGGCTTTCATGTGAATCCAGTGGCTTAGGTATTTTGGTCACTGATGAGGAAAAAGTTTGTAGGTTTAGAAGCTCTCACTTGCATCTGACTTTACTTTCCTGATAAGTATGCTTTTTCTAGGTCACTGACTTAGTCATATTGCTAGCATTTTTATGCAGTAGACCACCAATGGCAGCCTCTTTGTTTCTTTCAGTACAGGGTTTTTTTAATTGAAGAGTTTCAGCCATTACATTCTAACATGACTGTATAGAAAGTCCTGTTCAACTTCTCAGCATTGAGATTTCACCCAAATTGGAGTTTTCAGGTCTAAGCCTGTCATCTTATCCAGAAGAGACTCTTTTTAGTAAGTAAGCCTGACGAAATCTAGTGATCTTGAAAACCTTCTGTATTACAGGAAGAAAAGAAAGTTGAGGGTCCACAGAAAATCTGTGAAGCCCAAAAACCCACAATGGATGAAAAGCGAGATGAATTTAAACATGAAAAGGAAGAAGAGGAATGTGAAGAAGAGGAGGATGAGGAGGAGGAGGATGATGAAGAATGGACTGACGCTAGTGGTGACGAAGTAGATGAAGATGGCTCAGAAGTTGAGGAGGACTCCATCGAAGAGGCTACCAAAGCTTCTCCAGCATCTCCAAAGGAGCAAAGACTACCTAAACAGATGGATACCCCCAAACTGACAATGCCTCCACCCAATGCGACCACTGATGAAGAAGAAGCTGTGGAGTCCAAACCCACCAGCCCATTCTCACCAGAAGGGCACAGGCCAGTGACTGACTGGGGAGAGGAAATGGAACTGCTGTCCCCTCCAGGAAGCAGCAATGAGGACAGTCCTCCTCAAACCGGTAATAGGAAGGTGTTCAGCATGGACTCGAGATCTCACTCAGGTCAGTGATAGTTTGAGTGATGCACTGACAATAGCCTTTATGCACACACACACACACACGCACAAACATGCATGTCACCCCATGTTGGTGTATCTGCTGGTGATGGTCCACTGCACAAATGTTTTTTTTGTGAGAAGGCTGTCCTTTTTGAAGGTGTTCGCTGGACTGCAAAGAATTATGTATTTCCATTCAAAGATATGTATGATGGAATGGTAAATCACTCTTCTGTATTGATGGGGACACTACTGAGAATGAGTGCCTTATGATAAGGCTGTACCAGCTCTTTGGTTTTTTCTTTTTTTTTTTTTTTTTTTTTTCTTTTTGTATCTGATTGATTGATTTTTGTTTCTCTGTTAATGTGAATGAACTGAAGCTTCTGTTCTTCCCAAACCAACAGGATATAAGAGGAGACAGCGCTAAGTCAGCTATTAACCCTTCCGCTTCCTGCCAGGTTCTTCCCGCTGACCCTTGTGATTGGATAGTGAATGATTTGACCTTATGATCCGAATGGAGAGCAACACTCATCTTGTTTATATACCAACACATCTGGTTTTGCTGCTAAGATAGCATCTGAATTTGACAAGGCCACTTCAGAGTAGTAACAAAGCCATTTGCAGGTACTTCAGCTTTAGAAACTAGATGTGGCCAAGTATGTTATAGTTGACAAATTTCTTGCCTTTTGCTTTGACAAAGAATTGGTAATGCAGCCCATGCAGGCTTAAAGTGATATTGAGGACTTCTATTTTTTCCCTAAAATAAAAAAAAAGTTATATTTACCTGCTCTGTGCCAAAGATATGGCACAGAGCAGTCCCTTATCTCCTCTTCTGGGGTCCACTGCCAGTGCTGTCTGCTTCTCCTCCTATGTGTTCCCACATAGCAAGTTGTGTGCTATAGGGGCACACATGCAAATGCACTCCCAAGCTTGGCTGTGTGCGTTCATAGGCACACAGCATGGCTCGGCCATACCACCCGCTCTCTCCTCACTGGATTTGACTGACAGCCATTGGCTCCCACTGCTCTGTTTGTCCTGTGACAGCAGGAAGAGAGGCCAGCGCTGCTGCAGTCGGCCAGAGTGCTGGATTGAGAGAGGTGACAAGTAAACATGTAGGTGGGAAAGAGCAGCTAGTGGATTTTTGTATTTTTTTTTTTTTTACCTAGATGCAGGGAATGCATTAAGGTAAAAACCTTTTGGACTTTAAAGCTACTTTTAGAGGAAGTAAAAGTCTGCTTTGGAATGCTTCAACTGTACTGTTCTGTGTTGCAGAGTCTATAGCAGGTGTGTGCCACTTGTCAGCCACCTTCTTAACATATCTTGCAACAGCCTTAAAGGCTAGGTTCACCTTTGAAAATAGTAAATGAACATGTTTTTGCAGGAAAGGTCCATATATATTTGGACACAGGCACAATTTTCATACTTTTTTGGTTCTGTATGCCACTAGAAAAAATTAAATCAAAACAATCCAAATTAATTTGAAGCGCAGACTTTCAGCTTTAATTCAAGGGGTTGAACATGCATATCATGTACAAATTTTAGGAACTGCAACCATTTTTATACACCGTCCCTCCATTTTCAGGGGCTCAAATGTAATTAGACAAATATAGTCATAAATAAAATGTTAATTTTTAATATTTTGTTGACAATCCTTTACTGGCAATGACTGCCTGAATTCTGGAACCTATGGGCATTACCAAAGACTGGGTTTCCTCCTTTCTGATGCTTTGCCAGGCTTTAACTGCAGCTGTCTTTAGTTCTTTGTTTGTGGGTCTTTTTGCCTTTTAGTTTTGCCTTCAGTAAGTGAAATGCATGCTCAATTGGGTTGAGATCAGATGATTGACTCGGCCATTGCAGAATATTCCACTTCTTTTTCCTTCAAAAGCTCCTGGGTTGCTTTTGCAGTGTGTTTTTGGGTCATTGTTCATCTGTACTGTGAAGCACCATCCACTCAACTTTACTGCATTTGGCTGAATCTGGGCTGACAGTAGATCTCTAAACACTGCAGAATTCATCCGGCTGCTTCTGTCACATCAATATACACCAAAGCCCCAGTGCCACTGGATGCCATGCATGCACATGCCATCACACTGCCTGCACCATGTTTTACAGATTATGTTGTGTGCTTTGGATCATGAGCTGTTCCAAGCCTTCTCCACACTTTTTTTTTTTTCTTCCCGTCATTCTGGAACAGATTAAACTTGGTTTCATCCGTCCAAAGAATGCTTTTCCAGAACTGGTCTGGCTTTTTTAGTTGTTTTTTTTTTTTTTTTTTTTTGGCAAAGTCTGATCTGGCTTTTCTATTCTTCAGGCTTATGAATGGTTTGCACCTTGTGGTGAACCCTCTGTATTTGCTCTCGTGAAGTCTTTCTCTTGATTGTAGACTTTGACAATGATACGCCCACCTCCTGGAGAGTGTCCTTCACTTGTCTGGATGTTGTGAATGGGTTTTTCTTTACCATAGAGAGGATCCTGTGATCATCCACCACTGTTGTCTTCCATGGACGTCTATGCCTTTTTTATGTTGCTGAGCTCACCAGCGCGTTCTTTCCTCAGAATGTCCCAGCCTGTTGATTTGGCGACTCTTAATGTTGCTGCTATCTCTCTGATGGATTTTTTTTTAGTTTTTGAAGCCTTACAATGGCCTGTGTCACATGGACAGCTCTTTTTGAATGCATGATGTATGTTCACAGCAATAGATTCCAAATGTAAATACCACACTTAGAATCAATTCCAGAAATTTTACCTGCTTAATTGATAGATAACGAAAGAGTAGCCCACACCTGGCCATGAAACCATTTTTGATTCAATTGTCTAATTACTTTTGGTCCCTTGAAAAAGGGGGATGGGTACTCTTAAGACCTGTAATTCCTAAACCCTTCCTCCAATTTGGATGTACATACCTTCAAATTAAACATGAGTGTGCACTTTCATCCCATATCCATTATATAACAAAGCTTGAATATGTTTAGGTAAATACCTGAAAAAAAAAACTAAAACTAAAATTGTGCCGGTGTACAAATTATAAACATCCCCATGATATGATAAATGGATGAACGGGTAAAAGTTTAGGCTCCAGCTCTCTAACCCTACCTCTGTACAGGCTTTTTGTTGGAAAGCTGGTGGAAGATTCACTGGACTATGAGTGTATTGTTTACCACACTCCTAGTCCAGTGAGAACTACACGTCTGTCTGCTGTTGCGGCAGACGGGACTTGCAGTTCATTCATTTACAGATCCCTGCAATAAATGTCGTGGCTGTGCAAGCTGAGCCCTGGCTGCGAGGTAGAAGAATGGACTTAACATGTAGCATGGTGCAAAAGATTAATTTAGACTTTAATCGCCTGTAGCAGAAAAAGCTCTGAAAAAAGGGCTTGTATAAAAGACCAATGGTGAACACTTAACCTTAGTGGTGATTAGAATACGTACCTCTTGAAGCAAATCCAATTTTTTTTATTTTTTTTATTTTATGTAAACTTTTAGTCTTTTATAAACTAAATCTTGCATGTTATGAGCGGTTGAGTTGGCCATTTTCCAGACCAAAGACATGACTGTCGTTTTTTTTTTTTTTTTTTTTTTTTTTTTTTTTTTTTTTTTCTTTTTCTGGCTATTGAAATTAACGGACACCTGTAAAAGCTTTAGACCCTTTTGCAAGCGTCAGGCATTTTTTTTTTTTTTTTTTTCTGCAAAAACACTGCTGGCTTCTAGGAGAGTGAAGTAAACATTTTGTGTGCAGGAGTCCTAAAAATAAACTTTGTTCTTGTCTTTCTGCTGAAGCTTTTTCCCTCTTCTGTGGGTAAACTATAGTCATAGTTACAGGAAGTGAAGGAAAATCTCTCTAAAGCTGCCCATTTTGGTACAATTTTCCTTTTTAGATTTACAAAAAAGCCATATAATATGAGGTCAGACCTAAACACTTTCAATTTGTATCGAATCGGGCAGGCCCTTGCACTACATAGTTGAAGGTAAATCTAAAGGCATAAGAAAATTGTATAATGTATGGCTAGCTCAATGGAACCCCTGAATAGCTGTAAAAACCCAACAAGGGATCCAATCCTTCCCTCTATCCCAAACAAAAATACTCAACATAGACTTTGAGTATTCTGGAGGGATAAAGCTGAACCTGTATTCAGGACTTGGGCAATTTGGGAGAATGCATAGTTTTCATCAATCACTATATTAATCACTATATTTACTATATTAATCAATATATTAACTGGGCAGTTCAGGGGTCAATGCTGTTGTGCTTTTATATCATTTGTTAGGTCTTCATGCCTCTCTGTGTTAAAAAAAAAAAAAAAAAAAAAAAAAAACTGTATCCACTGTGACTCATGACTGTCTCTCTTGAATATGATCAGGTATTTAAACTGTGTAATATTTTGAAGGTCTATTGGTGTAATGAAACCCCCCTCTAATGACATGGACTTTGAATTAAATTATCTTTTTTTTTTTTTTTTTTTTTTTATCTGTATTTTATTATGCTTATCCAATTTTATGTACAAGAACAAATGTATTTAAATAAGGAAACACTGCTGTTTTGAAAACAACTTTTAAGTATTTCTTGGTGCTAATAAACTCCTTTCCAGTAAATTCCTGAAAAAAGTGTCTGATAAAAGGATCTACCTTGTGTTCTGCCCATTCCAATATTGTGTGTGTGTGTGTGTGTGTGTGTGTGTGTGTGTGTGTGTGTGTGTGTGTGTGTGTGTGTGTGTGTGTGTCAGTCATGGAGCCACACTGGTGCATTAAGGACCCACTGCATTGTATTGCCACGAACTCTAGTCTAATAGAGTTCCCAGCATTTATAGTCCTTGGTCTGTATATTGCTAAAGATGAAGGACTTCTTTTACTGCTGTAAAACTTTGGCTAATGCAGGGAATGCTTACATTTATACTTCTACCTATTTGTTCACTTCTGGGATAACAATTCCACCAGTTGAAACAAAAGAATTCTGAAACTGTCCCATATACAGAGTACTCTGTAGAAATACTAAATTTGACATTTTTGCTGA